TTTCCATTTTAACTTTTGTTTGCACATTAATTAGACCTTATAGCAATTGTAGTTTACAAGCTGTCTCAGACATTACTTCAGCTGATGTATCTTTAAAACTCAAGCATATAAGATGCTAAATAGCAGCTTATCTCATGGTATGGTGTCCTCCATATTTTTAAACAGCCCATGTTTACTATTTTCATCATCTTTATTGTTATCATATACTCACTGTGCACTCAGATCACCCATGCACATGACTTTTGTGTTCTTGCCCATTTCAGTTTCCCAACTTATTCCTGAGATAGTATTTTGTCCACATTTCTTAAAGTTTGTTTATGTTGACAAGTGGTATATTTTGTTATTATACTGTTATGTTGTATCAGTGTACCACTTTTATTTCAATGTTTCCTATACTGTGAGGACAGTCTTTTATTATCTTCTTGTTTCATTGTTTACACAAACAGATCAACTCTTGGGTTGATCCTTTCTGTCCTGATACAAAATCTTTATCCCTTGTAGCTTTGATCTGTTCAGTTTTGTGTGTACACTCAGGTGTAATTTCTTTTACTTGTCTGTCTTTGCATTCATTGTACTGTTTTTAAAAAAATTTAACATTTGCCACATATTTTGTTGAATGAAGAAGAATCTCAGACTATACTCACATACACATGCATATTGCTGTTGACCATTTATTTCTTGTCTATTCTTATGTGATTCTAGTAAACAAGTAATCGTTAACATACTTTGAAAATCAGGAAGGCCAACTGCCTGAGGACCATCCCCACACTCTCTGTTTTGTGACAGGAGTTTTGGCTACTTTATTGGTTTTTTTTTCTACCACCCCTCTTCACCCTTAAGAAAGTTAGAGAGGAAATAAGGCATTAATATGACTTAGACTACTTCCTGATTAGAGATATCAAATTCCTTGGGGCATGTCCAACTTCTTCTATATAACAAACAGTGACCAACAGCATTCAATAGCAACCAGCAACAGCAACAGCAGCAATAACAACAACAACTGCAGCAGCAGCAGCAGCAGTAGGAGGAGGAGGAGAAAGATAAACAACAGCTTTTGCCTCCCTTAGGAGCTCTGGCATGACTATCCCCTCTTAAAAGTCCCCAGAATTCCAAATGTAAATGACCTGCAGATGGAAAAATCATGCCCCTGCTAGAGCATAAGTCAAATCATAATTAGCCACAGTATACAGTCTGAAATACCCCATAGACCACACCAGGGACTAAAACAAAACAAAAAAAACCATATTTACATAACACTTCTGTGTTTAAACAAACAAACACAGTGTAATTTCTCATTACACTGTTCCCAAGGCAGATACTCTTGCCTAACTACAGGCCAAACCTGCAAAAAGGCCAGATAGACCACCTACCTGGGGACTTTTTCTACTCTTTAGCTTCCAATAAAACCAATCTTCATTTGGCCTTCACCTTTCATCACTGCATCCCAGACACAACTCCAGCAAACAGCCCCTTCCCAAACACAGGACACATCTTCCAGGAGAACAAGTAGGTTAACAGCTTGTAGATTCCCTTCACTCTCAGTGTGTCCACCCCAATATCTTCAATCTTCCCTCTCCTCCTTATCACCATGCTCCAACCCCCAACTAGAACAGAGACCACCTGATCAACAACAGATCAAGCCACCTACCAGAAGTCCAGCTCCAAACTCAGGTGGAGATGGCTTGCTTAAATACATGCCACACAAGCTGGAAGGACAGAGAAAAAACAGGAAATAAGGAACAAAACATCCTTCCAAGAAACACAAACTCAAAAATCAACACATAGGCCTATAATCACTCCAAACCTACATGCTTAGACATCAATATATGAATACAATCAACAACAGCCAGGGCAACATGTCTTCATCAGAGGCTATCTATGCTAATATAGCCAATCCTCAATATTTCAACACAGCCGAAAGGAAAAGGAAAAGACCTTAAAACAAACTTTAAGAAGATGATAGAGATCCAGATAGAAGAAGTGAATAAATCCCTTTAAAAAAGCAGAGACAAAGAACTCAAAGGCAAGATGACCATGAAAAATCAACCAAATAGTTAAAAAACAAACAAGCAAACAAAAAAAACCATATAAAATTGTTTAAGACCTTAAAATGGAAATAGAAACAACAAAGAAAACACAAACTGAAGGAACTGTGGAAATGAAAACTCTATGGAAGTGAGCAGGAACAACAGAGGCAAGCTTCACCAACTGAATAAAAGAATGGAAGATTCTAAGGAGAGTTAGACGGCTGATCAACTGAAATACCTCTCAGACCCAGATCCTGGGCTTTGAATTGGTGCAAGTCAATATCTACTCCATTCATGAGCTGCTAGAGTACTTGAAGAGGCTGATACTACAGATCCAAAATTACAGGATCTCCATGACACAGCGCAATAACAGTATGTCTGAAGGAGTCCTAGTGAGGTTTTATTATTGATGGTTTTGCAGAAGCCATAGGTCTATGACTAGACCAGTGAATCATTGTATTGAACATTTCCAAAATAAGAAGTGTGGACAAAAGGAATACTGTGGGTCACACTGGCACAATACACCTTCCACAAGATTTGGTTTTGTCTGTTGGTGAGGAGGTAGCAAGGGTAGAGGGTAGGAAAGAGGGGAGAAGGATTAGAGTACATAATTTGAAATTCACAAAGAACCAATAGAAATTAAAAAATAAAAACAGAAGAAGGAGATGAATCCCAGCTCAAAGGCCCAGAATATATTTTTAACAAAATCATACAAGAAAATTTTCTGACCCTAAAGATGGACATACTATAAAGGTGCAAGAAGCTAACAGAGTATCAAATACATTTGAACAGAAAAGAAAACCCCCTTGCCACATAAATTTAACACATTAAATATATAGAACAGAGAAATGATTTTGAAAGCTGCTAGGAAAAAAAGAAATTATCGTATAAAAGTAGAACAATTAGAATTATACCTGACTTCTCAGTGGAGACTCTAAAAGTCAGACAGGCTTGGACAGATATTTTATGGACCCTAAGACACTACAGATGTCAGCCCAGACACCCAACAAAACTTCAATTATCATGGATGAACAAAGCAAGATATTCCATAATAAACTAAAATATAAAGAATATCCATCTACTAATCAAGCCCTACACAAGATACAAGAAAAAGCAAAACAAGCAAACAAACAAACAAACAAACAAAACCCTCAAAACTCTGGAAATTAATTACATCCATGAAAATACAAGAAATAAATAATTTTAACCTTATCCAAACTAACTAAATAATATAGAAAGAATATCGAAGTTAACAAAATAAGAAATTAAAAGGGGAATATAACAACATTCCCTTTTATATTCCTTATTCAAAGAAGAGTTATATCAATACTACTCAAATTATTCCCTACAATAGAAACAGAAGGAACATTGCTAAATTGACCTATACGGACACAATGACCCTGATAGCCAAACATACAAAGATCCAACAAGCCAAGAAAATATCAGACCAATTTCCCTCATGCATATTGATGCAAAAGTACTCAACAAAATCCAAGAAACTAGCAAAAAGATTATCCACTATGATCAAGTATTCTTCATCTCATATACAGGGATTGCTCAACATACAAAAATCAGCCAACGTAACCCAACATATAAACAATGTGCAATTAAAAAAAAACCACACATCATAATATAGTTAGATGGTGAAAAAGCCTTTGACAAAATACAACACCCCTCTATGATAATAGTCTTGTAGAGATTAATAATAAAGGGGACAGTAAGACTTTACCAATACCAACTTGAATGGAAAGAAACTTAAAAAACTAATGCCACTAAAATCAGATTACAAAAGAAAACCGTCTACTCTCTCTGTTTATCTATTAAATACAGTAATTGAAGTTCTAGAGAAATAAGATAACTGAGGGAGAACAGGGGATACAAATTGCATAGGGAAAAGTCAAAGTATCATTATCTGCATATGGTATGATATGGGTTTGCATTCTGCCTCATCACTGGGTTGCCAGGACACTACTCAGAGAAATGAAATGTTCCTTACCACCATGCAATTGAGGGGGATGTCAGGCTCATGGCACACCAACACCTGCTCAGGGGAGGCAAAATGCAGCCTAAGATGGGGGTGGAGGTTAGATGGGCAGGCCGTCTCTCTGGTTGAGAAACAGTGCATCCTGGGGCTGAGGCTGTGATTCTCTAACTCCCAGGCACCCAGATGTCACTGGGAACCAAGAGGAATTGAGAACTGGGGCCCACCATGGCTGGGGGGAATGCAGCTTAGCTCAGGGGTGAGTGTCATGAGCACTAAGAGGCCTTCTGTAGGAGGCTTAGGTGGCACAGCTCAGTAACAATGACTTCCACCCATGACAGTCCTTCAGGAAGAAGGCAGTCTTTGGTTGTCTAAACAGTTTATTCATGGTGAAAAGAGTACATACCACTTACTCAGAGGGGACTAATGATTAAATTCCTTTTACAGGACAGAGTGTCTAGGAAAGGAAGCTTATTGGCTAAGCCCTCAAGGCTGACCTATCAAAATGAACAGCTCTGAGTTCTATGCTACTAAGAGGACCAGTTGTCATCTCTCTTAGTAGGGTGTCACAGTTACATGCTCAAGGACAGGAGTCTGGTTGGGAGCAGTCTCAAGTGACTTCTATTTTCTATTATGAGAATTGCTGGTGTTCCTTAATATCCTGAACCTTACCAGTTTTTCTGTCTGGTGACATCATTCGATTTGCCCCACAGTATGGTACTATATATAAGAGACCACAAAATTATACCAGGGAGCTTCCATAGCTGACAAACACCTTCAGCCAAATGGCCAGGTACAAGATTAACTTAAAAAAAAAAGGAAAGAAAAGAAAACGATAAGAAAATCAGTAACTCTCCTATATACAAATGAGAAAAAAGACTGAGAAAAAAATTGGGGAAACAACCCTATAACTTTATTTTTTTAATTTTATTTTTAATGAAGATCTTTAAATGCTTAAACTTCCTTATAACCCATCACCCACCAGAGGCAGTAGAAAAGAAAGGATATACAGGAAGTGGACCTGTTTAGAAAGGTTCTTTGGAGCAATTCCCATCTGTGTTATCTGGAAATCAGTGGTTCAGTTTATGAGTTAGCAGGTAGCAGCAGCTCGATCCACTCAAATACTCCTCATGGATACGCTAGTAGTCCAGTTCAGTAGAGTTGTTAGCAACAGTGGTGACATGATCTATCAGAGACAGCCAGGCCTCAGCCTCAACTCAAGTCAGCAGGAAGGACCAACAAGAACACCAGAAGAAGTTCTCATCTGTGCTTCCCTCAGGGAATCAAGGATCTGTGAAAACATGAGACCTATAAGCATTGCTCAGTGAGCTATGCCAGTAAGCCAAGCTCTGCCTCTATCACTCCTTGGAATCCTATTTATACCCTCCAAACATCGTGTGTCCTTCCTGTGACTTGCATCAGCATGTATCTTGCCTTAGAACAGGTATTGCCTCAGTATATGCATCTAATAACCCCAAGTCTTTGGAAGTTTCAACAAACTCTAGTGTGTCACCTGAAGTTTTTTGGTGCATTTCTCTCTATAGTGTCCCGACAAATGAAACTCAACTACGCAATGTAAAGCAGATACATGGGTGTTGTTAGCAAAGAATCTTTCATCATGTGTCCTTTCACATGCTTGCTTTAGCAGAACATCTGTTTATCTGTGTCTGCTTCAGCAAAACATTCTTCACAAGCCTGCCTTTGCCTTTCACACCTGTGTCCACTTTAATGAAATGTTTCTTCATGTGTTTGCCCCAGCAAAACACTATCCAACTGATTTCCAAAGAACCCTTAAATTTCTACTTCACAACCCTTTTTAGAATAGCCACAAACAATATAATAAACCTTAGAGTAACCATAAACATGCAAAAAGACATGTCTGACAAAATCTTTGTCTTTGAATAAAGAAATTGAAATGATATCAGAGATGGAAAGAGCGTCCAAGCTCATACATCAATAGGATTAACATAGTAAAAATGGCCATACTTACATACTTACTACCAAGCAATCTACTCATTTAATGCAATCCCCAACAAAATTCCAACACAATATTTTTTACAGACCTTGAAAGAGTAATACTTAACTTCATATGAAAAAACAAAAAACCCAGGATAGCTAAAATGTTCTTCACAATAAAAGAACTTCTCAAGTTATCATCATCCTTGATTTCAAGCTCTAATACAGAGCTTAAAATACAGAGCATAAAAACCATATATCATTGGCATTTAAAAAAAGACAGGTTGATAAGTCTAACCAAATTAAAAACCCAGACAAAAATCCAAGTACCTCTGGACACCTGATTATTTTATAAAGAAGCCAGAATTATAAAATGAAAAAAGAATGCATTTTCAACAAAAGGTGCTGGTGTAACTGTATGTCAGCATGTAGAAGTATGCTAATAGATCCATATTTATCACTCCACACACAACTCAAATCGAAGGAGATCAAAGATCTCAACCTAAAAACAGAAACACCTAGCCTGAAGGAAGAGAAAGTAGGGATGAGCCTGAAGCATATTGTCTCAGAAAACAACTTACTAAACAGAATACTTACACACCAGAGAACCAAATAATCCTACTAAAAAATTTGTTAGAGAGTTAAACAAAGAATTCTCAACTGAAGAACCTTGAATGGCCAAGAAGCACCTAAAGAAATATTTAACATCTTTAGTCATCAAGAAAATACAAATCAAAATGACCCTGAGATTCCACCTCACAACAGTCAGAATGGCTAAGATCAAAAACTCTGATTACAGGATATGTTGGAGATGATTTGGAGAAAGAGTCACACTCCCCCATTACTGGTGGGATTGAATGCTACTCTGGAAATCAGTCTTGCGGTTCTTCAGAAAACTGGACATAGTACTACCTGAGGACCAAGGATATTAGCTGTTAAGTTATGGAAAGTCTTAAAAAAGTCTACAGACCCAGTGAGACTAAGTAACAGGGAAGTGTGTGTGTGTGTGTGGGGGGGGGTATTGATCTCTCTGGCAAGAGAAAAAGAATAGACTTTACTTGTAGACTTCGAGTGAGTTTGTACGGGAATAGGAAGGATCAGGTGGAGGAGGGAGTAATGAAGGGAAAGAGTAAGGGGAGAAATAATTGGAATTGGTAGTTGTCTGGTAGACATTGTGGAGACCTAGTACAGGGAATAGTTCCTGGAATCTATGAGTGTGGCTTTAGCAAGGGCTCCTAGTAATGGAGGCTATGAAGCTTGAATAAGAAGGTTTGAGTATTAATGTCACCAAGCATGCAAGCATGCAGTTAACTTAAAGAAAACATACTTTAGCAATGCAGTCCACATGACAGTCAAAATAGTGAAGTTATATTTGACAGTGGATTAGAATAAAAACTCAAGAGCTAGGTAAATGATTAAGAATATAAGAATAGCACTGGTGGCTAAGTTCTGTTAGAGTATAGATTATAGTGGAAATAACAAATGCTATTTGAGACATTCACTACTACCTCAGAATGTTTTGCATAGCTCACATTCTATGTACATTGTACTTTAAAGCTCGTCAGAGTCTATGATCTTTATTGACTAGTCAGTAAATGAGTGTATTTTCTGGGCATATGTATGTCAATATCTAAATTTCTATGGTTTTCTTTTATTAAAACCTGAAGAAAGATGATCAGTGGAGTAAGCAGAATTTTAGGATTATCCTATAAGTCTTATCTTCATAATTAAGTCCCTGATTATGTTATATTACATGGTAGAAGGATTGTGAAGATGTAATTAAGATTTTTAATCAGTTGGCTTTGTATTAATTCAAGTAGAAATTATCCAGGTGAGCTCAGCTTAATCCCAGGAATCATTTAAAAATAGACTTTTCATTTTCTGGACTGTCAGTACAGGCACTGTACACGGTGATTTAGGTAGAGGGGTGACTTTGCAGGACACAACCTTGTATCTTTAAGAATGCTTCTTGTTGGTAGAGCTGCATATCATTCATTACACTTTCTTTAAGTGTCATTTACCCATCTTAGTTAGTTTTGCATTTCTGTGACAAAATACCTAAGAGAAATGTAGGACCATTTAAAAAAAGAAAGGTAAATTTTGGCTAACGACTTCAGGGAAGGATGATTCTTGTCTTGTTTGTTCCAGGGCCATTGGCTAGAGCCAAGAAAGGTGATTAAAGAGGGACTGGTTGTGACAGGAGACTAGTCATCTCATGGCAGGTCACAGGGCTAGAGACAAAAAACATTTTTCAAAAGCATTCTCCTAATGGCATACTTCCTCTAGGAATGTCTACCTTTGAGTATCAATTACATTCAGGTGGGAATTCACCCTATGGGTTAATCTATTACTGAGGTTAGAGTCCTCATGAATTTATTACCTCTCAATGCTATCACGAACTAAGGAACAAACCTTCAATATTTGAGCATGATGGGAGAGAGGGGTTTCATATTCTAATCTAGATAACTGGTAACTCTTAAACCTCATTGCAATGAGATCTGCTTTATGTGATAAACATTAAGCAATCTATTTGCCTCTCCTTTTCCACCTTCCTTGCTCTTCTTCTGGGATATTTCTATTAGCACTTTTATTTGGCAAATGACTTACAGTAGCTACAGAAAATTACTATGCATGTTGAAAAATGGAAATGGGATGTTGCTGGAAAAAAAATCCAATCCTGTGAGAGGTGAGGTAAAAAAGAGTTTGGAGAACATCATATAGAGTATTACAAAGACTCATAGGAGAAGTCACCTAGACATTTGAGAGACTACTAGGGAAGACTTAGAGGTGAGTGATAATATCAATCCTATAAAAGAAATCTAGGAGTTCTGGCAAACTAATACAAATGGAATTTTCTACTAGGCCAGAAAGCAAAGGAGAGTAGCATGACTAAACTCAGCATTGGGAATGGTGCATTCATAACCCAAGTGATATGGAAGCCTTTAGATGCTGAGTAAGACTCATCTAGAGCTGCTGTAAGAAAGCATTTCCAATTTCTGAGCTCTACAGTTATTGCATGTCCAGTTTCTGTCACAATCAAAAAGAGACTTTTCTTTTTTGTCAATAAAGAAGAATAGAGACTTTTCCTTTTTTGTTGTTAGGATTTATTCCATATAAAATTTGCCTTTTTTTCTTCTTCTTTCCTTCTTTCCTTCTTTCCTTCCTCCCTCCTTCCCTTCTTTCCTCCCTTCCCCTTTCTTTTGTTCTTTCTTGCTATGTCTTCTTCTGTTAGCGGGTCCATGCATGCATGTGTATAATAGTGTGTATGTGTGTGTGTGTGCATGTGTATGTGTGTATGTGTGTGTGTGTGTGCTTGTGCATGTGTATGTGTGTGTGTATATGTGTGTGTGTGCTTGTGCATGTGTGTGTGTATGTGTGTGTATGTGTGTGTATGTGTGTGTGTGTGTGTACTTGTGTGTGTGCTCATGCGTGTGTATGTTAAATCTCAGTCAATTATTGATTGATAAGTGGAGCTTTCTCACTTGATGCTACTTGCCAATTTATCAGTATGAAGTTAAAACATTGTAAAACTTTGACTTAGCCATGTTTGTGTGGCCAACTAGTTGATGAAATGACATTGTCACATTATACAGATGTTATCATGAGGACTAATGAGTCATATTTAAGGTTCTTTTCACATGTACAAAAAGTCTTCTCTACATTTTTAGATTGTAAAAATTTATATTTGAGTTAGCAAAACAAGGGCTGAAGCTGGACATCTTAGTATTTTGTGTTGGGACTTGGTATATTAAGGTAATTTGGTATAGGAATTTTGGTGAATCTTAGGGGGATTTGCATTTGCTGATAATCATTTAGTCTATTCAAATGGTTAATTCCTGAGAAGAAATAGGATGTAATACATAATTATCATTAAGTAATATCTCCACCAAACTATGTTGAAAATCAAGCTATGTAAAACATTCTAGAAATATTAGCTTCATGACTAAGAATCTCATGAAAATGTAGTATGTTTTACATGGAAGGCTTTTAATTAATTTTTTTATATTTATTTTTGAAATATTGATTTACTTATTTATTGTATGTATGCATATATGTGCGTATGTATGCGCTTGCATAGACACACATGGATGTCAGAGAATATCTTGCATGAGTCTGTTTTGTCTTTCAATAATGAACTTCAGGTACCGAACTCGCAATGTGTTGGCAGCAAGAGTCTTTATTCAATGAACTATCTTGCCGCCATATAGAAGTTTAAAACATAAGTCTAGTTCTCATTTAAGGAGATGGTAGAATTTTCTACTGGTCATCTGGTCCTCGTGCCCATTTTATAAAGCACTCTGTAAATAATAGTAAATCAAGTTCAATTTAAAAAAAACAAAATAATTATTCCAATATCTATATCTATTACAGTAAATTTCAGTATATTATAAAAAGTTTAGAATCTAAAAAATCTAAATTAGATATAGTGTTATTTTTCTCAGTTTTAATTGCTCCCTACATTGTCTTAGAACAAAAGTTGTGGAAAGACACTGTAGGAAGAAGAAATAGTTTGGTTTATTAATTTGTGGCAATGCTTAGAATTGAATCTAAGACTTTGTACATGCTATGTCACTGCTCTTCCACTGAGCTGTATCCTGCCACCATCAGTTTGTTCTCAAGAGCATGAACTAGTACAGAGAATTCCTAGGCCGTTACAATAGAAATTGTTCTTGTGCTGGGGTTCAGTTCATAGTGCTTGACTAATTGCCCAAGCCTTGGCTTCATCTGAAGCATCACAGAACAAAGAAGCCTAAAAGTAGGATAAATTGAAGCAGATTACATTCTGAATGTTGCTCCTTTCTTCTCAAGTATGGGGAGATGCCAAAACAACACTGAGGCACACTGTTCAATGCAGGAATAAATTAGACTGTCTCCTTATTGTGACTCTCTGAGATTTTCATTTTATTTCTAATATTATTCAATGTGTCCTTGGGAAATTATCAACTCTTCTGTAGGCAGATTATTAGAAAAAAAAAACCTTTTTTATGCCTTAAACATTTTGACCTCAGCCAAATATTTTGATTTAACTGGTCTCACGTCTTTCATCTGCTAACTTCATTTTTTCCTGAGGTTTATGGTTTTATATCCACAACCATACTGAAGGTGTTGTTTTCTTGAGTCCAAGTAATAGTATAATCATTACATCTATAATTATGTAGTTGTTAACCATTTGCTATCTTAAATGCAATTAGTTTCTCTTTCAAATAGATTTAAAGAAGCAGAACTTTCTAAACATTTGTAGTTATGATGCCTGTGCCTCCATTCAGGAGCAAATATATGAGGATAAAGAATAAAGGGATGCTGTGATATGACTGAGTCATGCAAAGTTGAGGACTAATAACAAATCCTTGTATTGTTTTCATGACATAAGGATCATGTGCACTATAAACAATGATATTATATGCAGATAAAAGTAATAGAACATGAAAGGTGCCATTTGCCATGACACATGTTTTATAGCTCTGCATGATGTGTTGTATTTATTCTTGTTGACTGACAAGGGAAGGAGAATAGGATAACCCAAACACATTACCAGCGTCACTGAGCTCATAAATCAGAAGTCTGCCTTACTTCAATGTCTGTCTTCTTATCACTAACAGAAAACACAACCAAAGAAACATCTTGGCATGAAAGATGGCAAATGTGCACCTAAGGTGATGGGTGGATTGTTGGAGCATTTTATGATATAGAAAGAATTATGAATTTCCTTTAAATTTCTGCAATAAACCTGCCTATTCTATAACTAGATTTTCTTTGTCTTATATTTTAAACTATTGCTTTTTTATAAGACTGAAATTTAATAAAACTTCATTTTATTATAAAGTCAAATAAAAATTGAGAGCAAAAATAATTTACTGGCTAAAAAATTCTACAATTCACTTACAAAGACCTAACTATTTTTAAAGTTCTCTGAGGAGTTAAAGTTGTGGAATATGTTATCTCCCTCTTTGATATTAGCTAATGATTCCATGTGAATATGGAGACATTCATATAGCTTATTAATTAGTCACCAAACATTATTATTTCAGGAAAATGTTTATTCATATGTAAAGTCCTGTATTAACAAAAGACTTTTCTGATGAAGAATTTTAGTGTCTCAGATACCTGTAAGGCTTTCTGAAGCCATGGGGTCTGCAATATATGGTGGCTTCTTTCCTGCTAGTCCCTATTACATCCAGCACACTGAAGATAACTGAGATATTGCCTGCAAGGGGAAGATCTCTTTCGGGAACTAAGGAAGCTCAGAAAAAGCAAATGTTGCCTTATAATAAATATAAACATTTTCTATATGTTCAATATTTACCTCTTCATGTCCCATTGATAGCCACATGAGTACATCCTCATACATAGATATATGATATATATGATAGATAGATAAATAGATAGATAGATAGATAGATAGATAGATAGATAGATGGATGTATACATAATTTAGGTTTCTTATTATATGTTATGAATGTTTTTTAAATCATTAAGAATTTTAAATAAGTGTATGATTAAATTTAGTTCCATTGCAGAAACAGGCAGAAATCAATCAAGTTGACCCTAACTAACACTAGTAATGGGGGATATGAAACTCAGAACTAGATATTTTCTGTAACCAGGCAATACTTTCAGTGGAGGTATTCGGACACCATCTGAGCCATAAAACCATTGACCTGCAATTTGTCCTGCTACAAGATGTGCTGGGGTAAAGGTGGATTAATTTTAAAATAACTCATTATCTTAAGTTAAAATTATTTATAATATATCATATACTTATATAGTATACATAATAGATTACATATAATATATTCTGACATTTATTTACTATATTTAAATGATTCATATTTATACAAATTATTTATATACTTGGGTTAATATTTGGTAGCTATTATTCTATATTTTAATTATTTTATATTTTTTGTTCTAAACCTTTTAAAGTTATCTTTTATGGCTTTGTTTGAGGGATTTCTATGTTTTCAGGATATCTTATATGCCAGCAGTTTAACTATTTTCTATCAAAACCCTTTTAGTGGTCGGGTATAAAGGTACATATGTATAATTCCTGTACTCTGGAGGCAGATGCCAGATTATCTTAAGTTCAGAGAAATCCTAAGCCGTATGCTGTGATTTGTGGCTACATAAGATGAGGTTCAAAACAAAGCAACAAACCAGCCAAAATCCAGACAAACAAAAGCCATGTGAGATATAGCATTACCTTCACATTAATAATATATGTTTTAAATTATATGATGAAGTCCCTCCTATGCTTCCTTTCTATATTTTCAGAATCTCTTTTCATTTATTCAGTAGTAAGATATTTACAATTATTACTTAAAAAACAACAACAAACTTTTAGACTAATTAAGAACGAGAAAACTTACACATGTATCATGAATTTGCTCTGAACGGAATAGGGAGATCACTGTTTCTATTTTATGCTTCCCTTCTTTAATGGAAATTCTTTTTAATTTCTCTTGCAGAGTTCATAAGCATACAGAATACTGCTCTCAGTTTTGTCTGTCTGAGAAAGTCCTTAGTCATCTACTTCTGAAGCATAGTTTCACAAGTTGTAGATTTGAGTTTGATTGTTTCTTGTGCTAACAGTTTAAATGATTCAGTTTGCTATTTTCTCTCCAGCGTGGTTTTTGACAAGAAGCCTTTGTCTCCTCTTCTTGCCCTTTGATGTGCATTAGTTTCCTAGGACTGTCATAACAAATTACTGCAACTGATGTGGCTTTTAAGAAAACAAAGTTTTCCTCTTACTGTATAGAACACACATTTGAAATGAGGGCTGAAATGGTTCCTTCTGAGCCTGAGACAGATTTCTCCAGGCATTTTATAGAACTTTGGAATTTCTGTACCTGCATCATGGAACATCTATTTGAGTGTGTGCTCAAAAGCCCTTCTTTTTATAAGATTAGTCATTTTGTTACATTCACACTCATCCATGATGATTTAATCCTCACTTGATCATGTCTGCAAGTCCTCTTTCAAAGCAAGACCATCTTGTTGGTATCAAACAAAAGCTGTGGACATATGTTTTGGAAACACATTTAATTGTCAAGTATAGGAATAAAAAGCTACCCTGTGGTATAAGTCAACGTATTTCTATAGAATTGGTTGCTTTAGTTCTGTTTGAATAATAATAAGTAAAAGTTACATAGTTTCTTTTGTCTTGTGTTATCGTGAGCTTTTTTGCAGCTATGGTTTCATATAGCCATTATTTCTCCAAATATTTACTCTGCTCTATCTCGTGATCTTTTGATGTTCTAATTGTGTATACTCTGCCTTTTATCTCCTATATTTCTGTATTATTTTCTTTTGATTTGAGATGATTTTTATTTAAGTAGGTTCTTTCTACTCTCAGTTCCCAGAAATTTGTTACTGTCCCAATTTGATGTTCCATTAGTTTATGGCTCCAGAGGTCTCAGCTTCTGGAAAGCAAATCTCAGCTGTAGTTCTTTCACATCACCTGTGTTTCCAAATATAAATGTTGTCACTTTACCCATGTTCTTCTGGAAGACATACCTATCCCAGGAATAATGTCATAAGAAAACATTGAACAAAGAAAACAGAACAAGAACTGTGTTATCTTAATGTAATCTTTTCAACATACATCCCAAATAAAGAACTGATGACAGTCTAAAACAAGGGAAGTTTCATCTTAATGGAAAAGCAGTGAGTATCACTGATATTATTTACTTAAGTATGGGTGGCAGGCTCTTAACAGAAGCAGAAATAATTCAAAGATGGTTGCATCACAAAAGTCCACCCTCTTCAGTGATCAGTGATGAAGATGACAAGATCTAGAAAGCTGAAACTCACAGCACAATGTTAAGGCAGCTTGTTTTTGGAGAATGTCTCTTCCAGGCAACTCAGCTGGTGTCAGTATCTCGCAGGCAACTCAGCTTGTTGATGAGTGCTCCTCTGTAGTCCTTAGTTCTGGAGAGGGAAAAAGTCATTTGAATCTGCTCAGTTTCAGGGACGTTGTAAAACTTTTGAGATATTTACTTTCTGGGCTTAAGGAGTTTTGTGGTAATATGTAATCTGTTACCTTCCCTTAGAATATCCTGTGACTTAGGGAGCTGCCCTCAAAGATTGAAAGTTTTATCTTAATGGAAATAGCTGCATAATAGCCACAGACAACATGTTGTTAATAGGACATATGAATTTACTTAAGATTTAGATTCAATTTTTATTTAAAAATTGAAGTAGAATCTTAAATCCCTTGACACAAGGCAGAGTCACTCTTGAAGTCCTAATTATTGTTGTTTTTCCTAACATTTTACTGTTAGTTTACATCTTTGAGTATGTATGATTTTAAATACAGCTGCCATCTTCCACTGAAAACAGTAGACTAACAATATGCATACCTACTTTACACACCTGTTAATCTCCCTTTCCCTCCTTTCCTTTATGTGTTTTCTCTTTCTATTTGAGTTATTTTTAAATATCCTATATAAGTTAACAAATACTAAAAAATTTAATAGAAAAAATATCAAGTAAAATAGAAATAAAATAAAAACCCACAAACCTACAGCAAACAGCTGCTATTCCTATCTGTCTCTCTGTCTGCCCCTGTCATTGTATTGTCTCTCTAAAATATAAAATCAGGAAAAGATTGAGATAGAGGCATTACTTTATTCATAATACCATATATTTTATTAAAGGAAACAGACTTAAATTTCATATCACCTGTATATTGCAATTCCTCTCTCAAGCGCTGAACCCAACCCTGGTGATTTTTATGTCTATGTGACACTAGCTAGGATCATTTGAGATATGGGACTCTCAACTGACAAAATTCCTCTATGAGATCCAGCTGTAGGTAAGCCTATAGGACACTTTTTCAATTAGAGATTAATGTGGAAGTTTTGAGTTTACTGTAAGTAGGGTAACCTGGCCTGGTCATCATGGATTCTATCAAAGAGCAATAGCTCTTATATTCTAGTCCTGCCTTACTTGTATTTCTGTTCTGACTGCCTTTAATGATGCACTACTATGTAGAAATGTGAGTGAAATAAGTCCTTTCCTTCCCAACTTACTTTAGGTCATGGTGGTTTATCACAGCAACAATCACCCTAAGTAGGACACACTTCATGTCCTTTTAAATGTCCTGGCTTCTGGAAGAGGGGCTGAGGGAGGGACGGCTTGATGAGGGACCTAGAGGAGACTGGCAGCAATAGGGATGTGAAGTGAATAAATAAATAAATAAATAAATAGGAAGAAACATATTTAAAAATGTCCTGGCTTCCATGGTTACTGCATGTTGTACATTCACAACTTAAAATCTGGGGCTAGATATTATAGATAAGAGAGGCTTTTGTGTTTATGGGTCTGTGTTACTTCACTCAACATAATCTTTTCAATTGCTATTCATTTGATGGAAAATTGCATGATTATTGTTGTTTGGGGTGTTTTCCAGATCTTCAATTATGTATATTATCACAGTTTTTTTTCTCTATTCATCTATTGAAAGACATTTAGGTTTACATTTCCTTGCTATTGTGAAGAGAGTATCAATGAACTAGGAAGTCAAATCCTTTGGGCATATGCTAAGAGAAATAGTGTTACTACGTCATATGGTAGAATTACTTTTAGTTTTTTGATGGTTCTCCACACTGATTAAGCCATTTTAATTTCCACAAACACTAAATGAGGGCTCCCCTTCCACATACTTCTAGAAGTTATCTAGTCCTCTTTGTTATCAGTTGTTTTGTTGATCTAAGCCATTGTAATAAGATTGAGATGAAATAGTAAAGTAATTTTTATTTTTTTAAATGTTAAGGATGATTAACATTTTTGAGATATTTCTCAGCCATTTTTATTTCTCCGCCTATTAAAAACTTTCTGTTCAGATCTCTACTCTATTTTTTTTAAATAGGGGTGTTGGTTTTAATGACTCTTCATTTTTGAGTTCTTAATGTATTCTACATATCTGTCCTCCATTAAATATAGTTGGAAATTATTCTCTTCCAATCTAGGTGTTTGTTCTTCACACAATTTGTCATGTTTTTCGATATCAAGAAGCTTTTTTATAAATTTTATAAGCTCACTTGTAAGTTGTTGATATTAATTCCTGAGTAAATAGAATTGTGTTCAGAAAACTCTTTGCTATACATGTTACTTCTAGGGTATTGGCTGTGCCTTCTTCCATGAGATTTAGTGGCTTATGTTTCAAAATGAATTTTTTTTAAATTTACTTGGATTTAATCTATGTTTGAGGTGATTGATGTGGGTCTAATTTCATTCTTTTGCATTGAATATCTAGTTTTCCCATTTGTTGAAGATGCTGTCATTTCTATAATGTATGTTTTTACTTCTATCAAATAGTACAAGGCTGTATCTATGTGAATTCATGTTTAGGTCTTCTCTTTTATGTCATTGATCTACATGTCTGTTTTTCAGCCAGTACTGTATTTGTTTATTATGGAAGCACTATAACATTACTGGGAATCTGCAATGGTAATTCTTCCATTCTTTTTTCTGTCATATTATTTCTATTTGCAATTACCATGTTGAAAGTTTCAACACTCCAGCAAATGGAATTTAAACTAATTAATGTAAAGAGGCTATCAATTTGAGGAGGGACAGAGGCAATATGGGAATAGTATGTTGGTAGAAAGAAAAATAAGAAATGATGAAATTATATTTTCATTTTAAAATATATTTATCAAAGAAAAATAGTCATAGGCCCATGGACTTGTCAATATTTCTGTACACAGACAGGTTCAATATCATCAAAATATAATTGATTTCTAAATTTACATGAAGTCCTGTATTTCTTATCAATTCCAAATGTATTCATTTTTTAAAAATAGAATGTACAGCCTTTTTGTTAATAAAATCATAAACACAAGAAAGAAAATGATGAAGATTAGGAGGTTAGAACTATGCAGGAAGGCTAACAGAATCAACTAACCTGGACTTTCAGAGATTTTCAGAGACTGAACCACCGACCAAAGAACATACACCAGCTGGACCTAGACTTCCTGCACAAATATAGCAGATATGCTGCTTGGTCTACCCGTAGGTTCTGAACAACTAATGAGAGGGCTATCCCTAAAGTTGGTGCATGTCTGTGGAATGCATTCTTCTAGCTGGGTTGCCTTGTCTGGCCTCAGTGAGAGAGGATGCACCTTGCCCTACACAGACATAAATGCTAGGGTGGGAGGTTGAGGGTCAGGAAGCTCCATCCTCTCAGAGAAGAGCCATAGAATCGGGGAGGCGAAGAACTGTGGGAACTGTGGACCAGAAGGGGGTATGTAAAGTGAATAAAAAAACAATGGATCTACCACATGGTTCAGTTGATCCCCTTGAGGTTCCAAAGCTAAAGAAAGTTAAACTAGAATATCAAAGAGAAGTCTACACTGGTGGAGTGATGATTTTGAGAACTGTGTAAAGATTGTCTCTGTTTTATTCAAATGCTGATTTCTGAACTGGCAGTGATCTGATTACAGACCATCTCTAAAAACTTAACCTAAATGATCCTAAACACTCATTCACTCTCCTAAACTCATCCAAAAATGCAGATTAAATATCCTCACACTGTTTCTGCATTTTAGACTAGAAGAAGCTTAAAATAATAGTGTTTGAAGAGGAAAGAGAAATCAAAAGCTGAGAGGGTATATGATATCTTTCAAAGACAAAGTATAAAAGTCTTTGAATGCAATACTGTAAGACACAAGGCACTGAAAAGTATACCCAAGTCTTCAGCTAAGGCAATACCAAGCATTAAAATATTAGTGAGGCCTAAAGACACTAATGAAACAGAAAGTTTGCTGACTATCTGTCTTCAAGCCAAAACCTCAAAAATTTCTATGACAATATCACGACCAAAAAGAAAGCACCATTCACATGTGAATATCTAAAGTAGAAATCATCAAATTCTGTGAAAGTCCTCTTACTCATGCTAATCAGGTCTCAATGAGTTATTTTTAAACAGCAGACCAGTGTCAATACCTCCGAGCTGTTGGAGAAAGCTATGAAAAAGTCAGATAGGGAAGTTGCAGAGGAATTATCAGCAGTAACACAGAAGCTCAGTGGAGGAAGGGCTAAGAATTGCATGAATTTTCACAAATGTGGATAAGCAAGTATCTACAGTAAGCAGAGATTGCTTCAAAAGATTCTATCTTAGAGGCGCACCATGTCCTTTAACGCTGTTTAACTCTGTGAAGGTTTATTATGGCAACGGCCCTCAAACACACCCATCTCCATCTACTGTAGCAACTTTGCATCACTTTGCAGAGAGGCTACCTTCTCCCACCACACACTAACTACTAACCTTGTCCCTCTGGTGCCTCCTCCACAAGCACACTTTAGGTTTTGACAAGCTTGAAGCCCACATGGATTAATACCTATTAATCATTTATTATATGTAAGATTACACTACTGTTTTGAGTTTGGTACCTATATTTTTTGTATGTTCTAATGATGATACTGGTCACTGTGATATACTCCTTTCTCCACAAATTCCAGGCATTCTGATATATCATTTTTCACTATGCTATGTTATATAGCAGTACACATATGTCTCTAACTCTATTTATGACCGAAGTTGAGTATCTGCCTCGATGTTTTGTCACTCCCATCTTAAGCACAAGCTCTACCTTGTGTTCCTGTTTTCATAGATGGCTTCTGACTTTATATTCTGAGACTCAAAAGCTATCATTCACACATCATTTAGCTAACATATAAATATACTGCCTATGACAAAGGATATGTGACTAAAGAAGAGATCTCTTTTTTTTGATTAAATACTCATTTTCAGTTCCTACAAACACTGTTTTATTCAATGGCTATGTCAATAAGAAACTGAAACATATTTCAAGTCAGAAGAATTTGAATTATAGATTTCACCATCTAAAGACAAAAGAATAAGATTTGTATGCTTTTTTTTTTTTACATAGTCCATATATTTATTGCAATGGGGAGTCTAACAA